ATTTCCTACAAACAAGAACATTCACCACCAAGCCAAACTACAGCCATCCAAATCCAGAAGCCAATACCGACACACTGCTACCCTCTAATCCTCCCCACGCAAGATTTGCTGGTTGTCTCAATATCGTTTTTTACAGCAAAAGAACCAATCGCGAATCACTGCTTTTAGCTATAAAGTCTCTTTGGTCTTCTTCAACCTGAAATAGTCCCTCAGTATTTTCTTGACTTTCCTGCTCTAATGGCTCTCATTAATAGTGCTTTAATGTAGCCCTGCTTTTAATTTACATTTATAATTCAAGGGGATCTTTTTCTTAGAGTACGCCCAGATAAGATATAATATTTTGCTGCCTTCTGTGAATATGTGTGTTGTGTGTGGGTCCTTAGACACCTACAGAAGGGGAAGATTGTAGTGTCTGAATCTTTGTTTTCGGGGGGAAATAGCTTAATAAAAGCAATGATGCCTAAAGGAATAAACACACGTAACTAATAGATCTACGATTTCCTAGTTTTCAAGCACACATAGTCTAGCGGTTTCAGAGTATGACTGATGCTTGTACTAGAGAAAATCCTCCTTTAAATTAGTCCTTAATGATTTTTTCTATAGAGAGTTCAGAACTTTCGTAGATGATAGTGAAACGTCAGCCTATGAACAACCCAAAAGAAAATTTGCTCAATAAAATATTCTCTTTTGAGTGAATATACCAGAAACAGTTACATTATTAAAATTATCCATTTGACAAATTTGGTCCTTTAAAATTGAGAGGACCCTCTTTTTGGTGCTCTTTCATAGTATAAAAGGCATTTTGGTGTGGCAAATTTTACATAAAAAGCCAAATAGTCTACTTCTAGGTGAAAATAAAAATGTGAAAACTCACCATGGATCATGAATACATTGGAAATAGTTACAACCGGAATTTTAGAGTTAATACTTTTCCAGGTTCCACAGCTTTTATCAGCTTCTCAGCAAAGCCCTTGATCCAAAAGAGATTGTTAGCACTTCAGACTTATCATCTCTCCACTCTGAACCCTTCTTCCAACAACTCTTACACTTTCTTATCCACCAAGTTCATCCATTTTTCTTTTTCAGATTTGTTTGCCAGGGTTTACTGTTTATTGAAATTGCCTCAGCAATTCTACTGGAATGTGTTTGAACTATTCCTCTCTTGGTCAGCGTATTATGACCGCAGGTTGAGGAATCACGCTTCACGGCTTGTGCACTCAGGAGGGAGGGCAAACATAAACTTTAATATTAGTTTGATCTATGTTTCCTTCTCTTCATATTACTTCGTATGTTCACGATTATCACAGACATTTACAGAAAATCATATTTTAGCTCAAGATAAAACAGTTACTCATAACCACAGTAAATTATTAATGGACAGATCATATTTTAACTTTAAGGGATTGGAAAAATTCTTCTCACAAATATGGAACGATTTTATTTAAAGATAAATCCTACCATTATCATTAACCATGTAGATTACTTCCATGGAAATGGTTCCTAAATTTCATTTTTAAAAACTTCTTCTTATCCCTTCATTTTTCTCTTGACATATTTTATGTTTTTTGACTAAATGTATCACATTTTAATAACAAAAGCAAAGACATAAGTTATACTACTTTTGGATGCTCTTTATTTGTTATAAATATTAATTTCCTTACTTTGAAATGATTTTCCTCCCTTGTCATGCCTTGGCTATTATGTGTGACTTGAAACCCCCTGAGGGAGTGTTTGTGCCTGGTTACATGTGTATGTGTAGGTTTAAACTTCAGGGTTCAGCTATCAGCCACTGAGAACTCCCAATCATTTATCCTTGTCTGCCTCTGTGATGCTCACCAAAGACTCATCTGATTATAATATTTGGTATCCCATATAATTTTCTATGGGGAAAAATAATCAAGTGACACAAAATGTCCGGGTCACAGGACAGATGTTTCTCATTGTGAATCAATGCACCCACACTCTTGTTTATTTACTGAGTGTTCACTGTGTGCCAGGCACTGTTTTGGTTACTGCAGAATCAGCAGTGACAAAACAGAAAAAAACCCTCCCTCCTTAATGGAACTTTTGTTCTCCCGAGGAGACCATCTCCAAGTAAACAAAGAGTCAAAATAGTTCAGAGAACCATAAGTGTTATGAAGAAAATCAAAATAGCGAAACGGTATAAAGGCTAAGGGGGCACAATCCTGTATCATGTGAGAGAGGCAACATCTGACGAGGGGTGTGAATCATAGGGAAGATCCAGCCATGCAAAGATTTCTGGTAAGAGAATTCTAGACAGAGAAATAGCTAGTGAAACACTCCAGCATGGGAGCAAACTCATCTTCTGACCCCCCTCTTAAAAAATATAATTAAGAGAATAATTCTGTCATGAAGAAAAACTGTATCATGAAATCTGGAGGTTTTTCTTTTGGTTATCTAGTTTTTTCAGATGTTCAGCATCCTCAATTATTACACATAATCGACCGTTTCAATGACTTTTAAGGAAATGTGTATCACAGGAATTTGATTTGACTCACCTAGAGGAATGATCATAAAGTAACAGTGTAAGAAAATTTGTAATACTAACTTCTATTTAATTACTGAAAAAAATTTGTCCTAAAATCTGCACAAATCAAAATGTCTCTATCAGTTTATTTAAAGGATACCCATTTCAATTTAGGTTATATCATAATTCTTACACACTTTTCCATTTTGAAATGACTGCCAGGCACATAGACTATAAGATAGAAGATGAAAAGAAGAGAAACTCGCCGAGGCTCCACGAAAGCCTCGACATCTTGTTGCATCCCTGAGGACACCACGAGCTAGTTCTTCTTGGAGTAATTTTTATAAAACTAAAACTGTTTTTCCCAAAACTACACTTCTTCCTTTATTTTCATTGGAAGTAGAAAATAAAGGATAGTTGAAAAATCTCACGTATCTCTCAGTTACAGTCTCGATTGGTGATTGGCAGGTCCTATGCATCATACATAGTGAAAACAGTTTACTTTTATTCATGACAGAACTCCACACTACGATTCTCATTTTATAGACACCAAAACTAACATACAGTTCTCCACATCTTATGCATGTTCTTGGTCCTTTAGACTTTTGTCTATAAGAAAATGAACACACTAGACTGAAAATAACTTTGAAAATGTGCTTTAAATGTAAAACTGCAACAGCTGTTCAAGTTATACATGCATAACAGTTTCCTGAGGAGACCCAGTGACATTTCCACGCATCTTTACAATGTTTTTCATACCAAACATAGTTAAATGTATATAATTCTCCTTGTTTTAATTCTGTTTGACATGGGGCCACAGTCTCAAAGCCAACACAATACCCACACACCAGTGACAAGCACTGTTACTCATTCCTCTGAACTGTTCACACAGCTATCTCATATAAAGCCCACACTATCAATCTACGGTCAAGTTTTAACTTATATTTAAAATTTATATTTTAAAAATATATGTTTAAAAACCTGACAACCTACGTCAGATTTATTTTACACTTCACATCAAAACCGCTATTTGAGAGCCAAGGAGAAAGGGTCCCCCTGCACTACTCACTATTTTCTCTTTGATCTAAACGTATGTATTTAGATGAAGGAGACAACTGTTTTTCCACCATGGTTTAGTTTCTACTTAGCCATGTTTCCTCTCTACTCTAAATGTAGACCTTGAAAGCACTGGGGATGGAAATGGCAGCACTGGCTGCATTCGCAGATTAATGCCGAACAAGAAACACTCGCAACCATATTCCCATTTCAGTTTATGCCTGCAACCTGGAAGAGGTGCTTCCGTTAGACGTATGCATAATGTTTTGGTTTAAACAAAGGTTACTCAAAAGTAAGGTGTCCAGATATGGAGACATTTCCTCCTTTCCATGATCTCTTCTGGCCTTCCACTATGGAGGAACGAATAGATGTTTTATCTCTATGTATAGATTTAAATGTAGCATATTTATGTAGCAAATGTAGCATATCCATAGCATTATTGCAAGTTTTATACGCATTGACAGAATTTTCATACATAATATCATACATGAAATGTACTTGAAGCTATATTATTAATCTATTAGTTAAAAAATCAATAAAATTCAGTATAGTTTGCTTAGGAAAAGGATTTAAAAAGTAAAAAATAAAATTAAGTTTTGGTTCAGCAGAGGAAAGGTTTCTAAGTGCTGCCGATATGTTTGAAAAATTAATCACCGCACTCAATATTTTTCTGCAATATTGCAGGAGGGAATAACAGCAACACAGTACTTTCAATATTTTAATTGTAACATATACAAATCATATTAATTTATTTGAATCAAAAAACGCCTAATTTTAAATAATTTTTGACTTTTGGAAACATTTTTTTCTGTACAACACAAAATTCTATTATTAGACATGAATAAGGTAAAGCTGAGTGAAACAAAGCATTTCATTAAACTAAACATTGCATAAGTTTGGGGAATTAGTTTTTACATAAAAATGTCTTGTTTTTTATATAAACCAAATTTTACATAGACTAGTAGAAAAGGCTAGTGCAAATATAAATTTTCTGCCAAAACACGTTAGGGTGGCTAGAAAAATTTTAATAATTTTAACGAAATATTTTTCATATTCTTATTTGAAAACCGAAAACTAGCACATTCCATAAATGAACTTGAAGAATTAGGCATCTGATTAAGTTGAGCCTTTTGAAACTGTTGACTGGTTTTGAGTTACAAAATGTGTCAGTTTCATGAGTTTCAATGCAGTTATTTCTTGGTGTGTGTTCAGCTATGAGAAGAACCTTACATGGACTCTTCCCACCTTTACAAGTAATTATACAATGTTATAAGGCAGGACACATGCTTACTTAACATGAATCTCTTATAGTATACTGTGCTTTTCAGCTTCTAGGAAAAAAATTATAGAAAAAGTAACTCAATCAAAACGGCAAAGCATAGCCAAAATAAATATTCATTTTTTCCTACTAGTGAAAAATCACTATTCAAAATTTAGAAAATAAGCAATCACTTACTTTGGTAGAGTTTTCAAGTGATTTTCTCTTAACTCCAAGATCCGCAATTTGACAAGTCTGTAGAAATGAATAAAAAAACTGCTTCTTAATATTTCTCTTATAAAAGAATATTCCTATGGTAAAGTCAATTATCACTATATTATTCAAATAACTATGTCCAAACATTAAGTACCATAGTGACAGATTTTGAAGAATTATACAAATTTATTATGAGTAGTATTGCATCAACACTGTAAATGACAGTATCACTTTCTTAACAATAAAGATCGTTGAAAGATATCAAGTTCAAGTCATCTAAATTCATATGTTCTATAAAAATTATTCATGGTTGTTTAATTGTATGCATTCAGCAAATTACTAAATACCAGGTGCTGGGTTCACAGGAACATGGCAATACTTTCCCTCAAGAGACTATAAGTGAACTTGTAAAGAAATAGTATAGCATAGTGGTTAAAGGCTTGAGCTTTGTGGTCAGACAGGTCTGGGTGAAATTCAGACTCTTCCATACTCTATCTCTGTGACACTGGGGAAACTAATTAACGCTTCCTAACTTAAGTTTCCTGATCTATAATGAGTATGTGATAACAGTACCAAATTTATAGGATTTTGAATATTAAATGACTCACACATGTAAAGCCTAATGACTGGCACATCATAAATTTTAACATGTGTTAGCAATTACTATTATCACTAATCGCACAATAGGAAAATTGTTACAATATTCCATATCTCATTGACTCTAAGCTGAACATCTTAACATATGCATTGAAATCTACAGCATCATCTGTCCTGTGACAGTCCTGGGGCTGGGGAAATCCTGTGAAGAGGATGAGAGGGGTTCTTGGTTTCTGCTGTTTGTATAACATTTGGGATTAGGAATGCATTTCAGATTTAGCTACTCATTAAACTTTGCAGTCTGGGACACACTCTCGTTGTTAATGTCTACACTGAACTTTAAAATGTACTCAGTTGAGGCTACTTTAGAATAAATCTTAATTAGATTCTTCAAATTCTTAGTGTTTGGGAACACCACCCCATTTGGACTATGTCACCTACAATCTCCTATATTTACTGTGCTTTTAGGTATTCATCTAGGTCTCTTTCTCTTTCCTTTTTGTTTTGACTCCTATCAAATTTACAATTTAATTTTAATCTTATAACTCTTAATTTATACATGAAATAAACTGATTCAGTTCTTCAGAGACTGGGTATATCGCTAGTAAAAGAGGTTCCTTAAACATTTCTATGTCTCAAGTCTTCTTGACATTTGTGCTAGTATGGTGATATTTTGTGACTTATTTTGGCTTTTGGGGCACTAAATCTCAGGTTTTGGAGAGGATCTTAAGCATCCTTTGTTAAATGATTCAGCTAAAGGTGAAAAAATTTTTTTAGATTACAATAATAATAAAATACAGCATATTTTGGCAGACAATTTACACAAAATTGAATTCTAATTCCAAGTGGTTTTGGTTTTGGTATTATGTTTTCTGATTACCCAAATCTCTTCCTTTGTATTAGGACTATTAAAAGAGAATTGACAAAAATTCAAGACCAGAAAATGTGTCTTAGGGTGATAATTAAACATTTTCTGATTTGATAAATGAAAAACATATTTGTAGTGTTGTGGTCAGTACCAGAAGGACAATGCTAGTTTATATGAATGAACGGTGATGTTCCAATTTATTTAGAAGTTAGGCAAATGCTCTTTGGAATATCTGTAAATTTTTAAAACTGTCCAAGTGTATGGTGTTCATAGGTGTTGTGATATCACGGTCTGCAAAAGTAAGGGGATTTGAGAAATGTTCTGATGTGCTCTCCATATGCAAATGGAGGCTACTACATGTTAGGGGACTTCATTATTCCAATGATCTCCTCTTAATGTCATATACTAGCTTCTGCCAACAGTGTAGAGTTAAACTCAGTCTATTATTTGAACAACTTCAAAGATCACTTGGAAAAATGCAGTTGACAATAAACTTAAAATGTCTTAACTTTAAAAATATATCTTTTATACTTATAATAGCCAAGTCATAGAAACAACCTAAGTGTCCATTGACGGATGAATGGATAAAGAAAATGTAGTATATATATCTGTAGCTATAGATATAGATATCTATACACAACTGAATACTATTCAGCCACAAAAAAGAGGGAAATCCTGCCACTTGTGACAATATGGGTGGCCCTTGAGAGCATTATGCTAAGTGAAATAAGTAGGACAGAGAAAGACAAATATTGCATAATCTCCCTTACATGTGGAATTAAAAAAGAGACCTCACAGAAAAAGAGACCAAGTTTGTGGTTACCAGAGATGGGGGCGGGGGCTGTGGGAATTGGAAGGTGGTCAAATGGTATAAACTTCCAGTTATAAGATAACTAAGTTGTGGGAATGTAATGTACAACACGGTCACCATAGCTAACACTGCTGTATGATATATTTGAAAGTTGCTAAGAGATTAGATCCTAAAAATTTTCATCACAAGGGAAAAAACATTTTTTTTTTTGGTAACTATATGAGATGATGAATGTTAACTAAATTTATTGTGGTAATCATTTTGCAAAATACGTAAGGCAAGTCATCTATGCCCTACATTTTAAACATATACAGGGCTGAAGTCAATTATATCTTAATAAAATTGAGAGAAAAAAATAGATGTTCATTCCAAAACAATGTAGAATATTAAAAAATATAAAGATGACAATAAAAATTATCCATATTTCACTTCCAAGGAAACGCTCTTTTATCTCACGCATACTCATATTCATATTGGAAACATAGTTTATATATTTTGTTATAGTATGCTCCTAAGCATAACTTATAAGAGAAATTTAAAAAATTTTTCCCTAAATAAGATTATAAATTGGTACATAGTATTGTCATATGCATGGACCATAACATATTTAACCAACCTCCTAGATGGATATATGCTTCCAATTTTTCATATTGTAAATAATGATAATATCCTTGTCCATAAATGCTAGTGTGATATCTGATGGTGATAAGATACATTTTTTGGAAACTAATTACAAAGGCAATAGCTGTAAATATTTTCAGTGTTTTAAAGCACACTGCACAGCACAAAGTTCATAACACTTTGCAATTCCATCTGAGCCTGTGAGGTTGTCTTTCCTCCAACTCTATAAACCGTTTTCGCAATATGCCCGAACACAGAGCCATTTATTGTCATTTTAGTTTGTATTATTTTTATTGTTTGTGAGGATAAACATTTTTCACGTGTTTATTGGCAATTTGTACGTTTTATAATGGATGGCTTGTACATGACATTTTCCCACTTTTCTCTAATGAGATCTTTATCTTCACATTCAGTTGTAAGAATTCTTTATGTTAAGGATATAAATAACTTGTTTGTTATATGTGGTGAAAAATTTTCCCAGCTTACTGTTTTATCTTAATTTAAAAATATTTCCAATATCATTTTATTTTAAAAGTATTCATGTAGTCGAATCTACCTTTCCATTTATGATAGTTTTCTTTGTTTCTATGCTATAAAGGTATTTCCCAACCCAAGAGCCATAAGTATCGTGTGCATGTTTTTCCAGATCATTTCTGGTTTTATTTTTTTGTAAATAACTCCCTAATTCACCTGGGATTTATTTGATTATTAATCACATGTAAAGACCTAGTTTTACTATTTTTTGCAAAATGCTTCATTAATTGACATCTCCTTTATTGAATAATAATGAGGTCTATCTTTAATCACAAGGGTTACTTTTGAAGCCTCGCCTATTGGTGCTGGTAGAGTACTTACGTGAAGTGAAATAAAAATTGCATCTTTTAAATTTCTTATTCTTACCTTCCAAAATTGGCTGGAAGAAATTCAAGAAAGGCGTCGTTCAGGTAAAGCTGGGTCAGGTTTAGAAGCTGCGTGAAGCCATCAGGGAGTCTAGAAAGGAGGTAAAGATTTAGTCACTGCATCAATGTTGCCATAGAAACAGAACAAAAATATATCTCTAAGGAGAAAAAATAGAAGCGTAAGACGTTTTTCAGCTCTCCTTTGGTATCACAGTAATGGGAGAATTTATTGAGCATATTGTTACAGCTTGAAAATTTTGCCTGTTATTAAAATAAATGGCACTCGCCCCCTGACCATGTTGCTTTCCTATGCTGAGATTTATGTCACTGCACTGCCAGAGGCAGCAACATGATCTCTTCCTTTTGCCCTAAGCTTATGCACACCAGTGAGATACTTTTTTTTCGGAAATTTCAAGTTGTACGCCATGTTTTGTAACTTTAAATTTAATGTTCTTTCTCAATGGAATATTCACATATATAGTCAGGCAAGGAGATCCACTTACTCTTTAACTCAGTCATTAAAATTTGTCTACGATTTGTTACAATGATGACTAAAGCTGTCCAATATGAAAAGGCAAGGAGTATTTTGTCCTCTTAACGGGTAATTTCTTTAATGCAGTCTCAACATGTATGTAAATTATAGTTCAAATTGGTTCAATTCATGTTCACTAAAAATGAGCAAGAACATTGCAACAATAATTAAACAGAATCCTGAAAGTTGTAAGAGGCATTAAAAGAGTTGAGAAAATGTCCTTTGGGGAAATTTTACCAGTTAGATGAAATAATTATTTGAAATATTGAAGTCATTTTCACCAAAAAGATTTAACTCGAGGATTTTCCAGGAGACTAAGGATACTGAATATTTTCCTATAATTACACTTTTATTTAAACATTTTTAATGCTTTTAGTTGTGGTCTAGACAAGACTATGATCTTTTATAAAATACTTTTAAATAGTGTTCAAATTTGCCTTCCCCTCAAATTACAACCTATCGCAATTACTGACAAAATTGTTTAAACAGCTGCCTATACTCACTGCTTTTTACTACTCCTCAAGCCATTGTTTTCTGGCACTTACCCCAGCTCTGTTCCTGAAACTGCGCTCACCGAAGCCTCCAAGAGCCTCTTAGGTACCAGTTCCATTCACCTCCCTTCATTTTGTATCCCACACTGCCTAGCAAACAGCTGCCATCATTGATTGTTCTCTCCTTTTTGGCTCCTACTATACCACTTTTCCTGCTTCTTCTCCTACTCCTGAGATATTGCATCTGAGTTTCATTCTATGTTTTCTCTTCCCCTGCCCAATCTTTTATTATGAAATATGTCATATATATAAAAGAATATATGTATGCCCACAATATTATTTAATAAATAGAGCCAATACTTTTAAACCCCTCTGACTACATCTTCCTATTTGCCCCACAAATTCCTGAATGATATTTGCTATTCTGCCTTTTAAAGAGTTTTATGACACCTATTTAAATATCTAAAAAAAGTCACATGGTTTTGCATGTTTTTAAACATAATATAAATCAAATCATAGTATGAACATTTTCCTGAGACTTTAAAAAATTAACATCAGACTTGTGAAATTCATCCCCTTTTTTTTTTTTTTTTGTCTTGAGGAAGATTAGCCCTGAGCTAACATCTATGCCAATCTTCCTCCATTTTATACGTGAGTCACTGCCATAGCATGGCTGATGGGCAGTGTAAGTCCATGCTGGGGATCCTAACCCTCAAACTCAGGCCGCTGAAGTGGAGCATGCTGAACTCAACCACTATGCCACGGGGCCAGCCCTGAAATTCATCTATTTTGATGTAGATGACTGGCCACCATAGCATAATATTTCATTGTATGAATATACCACAATTTGTTTATTATTCTCCTTCCTATAAACATTATATTCCTTTCCAGTTTTTGGTTTTCTATTATGAACAGTACTTCTGTGAATATTTTTGTACATATATCCTGGTGAACAAAAGATTACTTAAGTTATATACCTGGTTACAAGAGATTAATGTCCCTCAGGAATAGTTCTCAACTACTGACTAGCAGGAGTATAAATACCTCAGCTCCCTTACCTATTGTGATTGATGACTCTGTGGCATGTGTTTTACACTGTTTCCCAGAGTTCCCCAAAGAGATTAAGGTCCAGTGGTGCATATCAGTAAATAACTTGATAACACACCCTCAACAAGTATTTCCTGAGGCCATCTCCTAAACATATTGCTGAATTCTTTTCTAAACATCTGCTTCTGGGAAATCCAAACTAAACACAATTAATATTTTTATATCAATTGGTAGGAATTCTTTATAAACTCTTAGGACACAAATCTTATGCTGATGATTTTTGCTGCAAATATCTTGTTCCAATTTGTATTTTGGAGTTGGATTGTTTGTATATGGCTTCATAAAGGACTTTTCCATAAATTTGCTCTTAAAAAGAGGTAGGATTCATGAAAGTAGGAAAGAAGGAGAAAGGAGGCAGGAGAACAGTGAGGGTTTTTATAATGTAGAGGTAAGAATTCATCAGCGATGGATGACAAAAAGAAGACAAATTTTAGAGGGACTACTTTATGTACAAGAGTATTAGGAATTAAGATTTGAGAATATCAGTAGCAGACAAGATTTAGAGGGTATTGACTGCATGACTCAAAGGTTTGAATTTTTTTACAAGATTAAAAAAATCTATGGGAGATCACTGTTTTTCTCTATGGTTTCCTTTGTTGTAATACATTAGATAATACATTAGATAGTGTAATATATTAAAGCTCATATCCTGATAGTATGATAGATTTTATGATAATGACCCAGATGTTCAATAGACTTCAATCCAAATTTAACTACTATCTTACTTTAATGTCCTTTTTGATTTCTATACTCATTCAAAAGAAGGAATCACTTATGACTTTTTAAAAAGAAGATTAATATGTGTAAAATGAGAAGAATATTAAAACCTTTGATCTAATAATTTACTTTAACATTGTAACTTTTAATGAGTAAAAAGCCTTTAAAAATACTAATTTTCTAGTTATAGGGACAGTTATAACTATCCATCACCCCCTAATCTATTATTCCACATATGTAGGCACTAAATGGTATTACATTTTACTACATCATTGATCAAAAATATATTTCTTTATTGCTGCTTATCTGGCAAAGTTTCTGCTGCAGGATCTGGATTCTTACATAGAAGATTTCTTTGAAGACTGAAGATTTGATCACATTGCACAGATTCCAATTGCAAAAGTGGACTGCCAAAAATAAGTTACACGAAAAACCAGAATACAAAGTAAGATACTTTTTTCAGCCTAGTTATAAACAGAAATGTGTTGACATTTTATATTGAACCTTTCTTTTTTTAAAATGTAGAGTTACAGAGTATATTTATACAGTATGTCTCATTTAATGTCATGTGTATTTTTACTTCAATTCATTTCAACCAGAATTTATTGAACAGTTACTCTGTACTTACATTCAAAATTAATGTCTTCTTCATCACTTTCCCCATAGGATTCTATTAATAGATTTAGCAAAGTACTTATACCAATCACGCTTTGTACAAGTGTTGGGCATTTTCCATTCCTGGGATAAATCATAAATTCTTTCAGGACAAGGAATTTTTTAATCTTTTCAATGATCTAGTATTGTACTTTGAAAACATATTATTTGAAAAATATGTAAAGTCAGTAGGTCTGCTAAAAAAGATAAACGACTTTATTACTAATTTTATGGTACAATTTGGTAGCTTCTATTAGAGACAATGGCCCCACTTGTCAATATCACTAATTCCAAAGGAATGTACAAGGATTTTTGAGGAAGATATTCCCTAGCAAGCTAGATAAACTTGATGAAGATGACAATCATGAGTTGTTCTTATTTTCCTCAAGCTACTCAATGAAGTCCAACATTTCACACTGAGTAAGGGAGCTCTCAATAGTGAAATGACTTTACTATCCTAAAGTAACTGGTGGTTTTCACATTTGACTGATACATTAAAAAATTTAGAGAATAGATGTTTAATATATATTGGTAAATAATTCTCTCTACTAAGGAAACACTTTCATTTTATTAACGGCTTAAATTAAAAGTGGCATATTCAAACAACAACAAAGAAAGGTTAATAGAAGCAGACACCCATAAGGTTTAGTGTCTGAGCACATGGGCCCTGATGTCAAAAGACCTGGGTTTGAATCATGGTTCTTTCAATTATTATCTCTGTAAGACTCAGTTTCCTTATTTGTAAAATGATACTAATATCCACTTCCAAAGTTGCTCTAACGATTAAATGATTACCTGACCCATAATAAGAACTCAGTAAATTAGAGAAACTATATTACTTTGCCTTGGTGTTATTTTCATTCTAATCTTTCAATATTAACTTGAATACTAATTTAAATGCTTTTATTAATGCTAATTTTATTCTTGGAATAGGCAAATTAAGATTGGCTGCAGACAACTTTGTTTCAACATTTTTCTTTTCTAATTGCATTTACTTAATAGTTAAATGAAAACATGTTACAGGCATTTGACCCATAATTGAACGGTTAAAGCCAAATTAAATTACAGGCTTTATAAGTTGTGATTAACCAGCCAATGTAAAGTCTATTCTAACTGGAAAGATATTTTACATCTAAGCATTTTAATTTATACAGCTAAAATTATAACATTAATATAACAATATTACAGAATGTTTGGAAAATACAGAGAAAAGAAAAATATTGCTTATAATTCCACTTCATTAACACAGCGATCATTATCATTTCATGTAGTTCCTTCTAATCTAATTTCCAGTTAACTGTTTTAACATCACTGCAAACTTGTATCATGATTTCTCCCTTTACTTTGTAATTATCTTTCGATTTTGCTGTATACCCAGAGTAACTACATAATCTATCATTCAAACTAGGACTTTTTTGAGAATTAAAAAGGACCTATTATTGATCAAGCTACCTTGAGAGGTGCAAACTGGGATGACTTGAGCAAACAGAGATATATGGTTACCATACACGTAAACTTTGCATCATGTGGTAGATGTGCCAGAATTTATTAGTAATTTCTGTATTGTTGAATATGATGAATATTTCCAAT